AAAAATAAATTATTGATAAAGCTGCCCTCAAGTGTGATTGATGGCCTTGACTGATACATTGAAAATGCAAAGGACCCTTTCATGAGCGATACGAACCCAAGTGAAAACGGATGCTGAGCAAAACAGAGCAGCCTAAATCCCTTTGAAGCAATAAGTTGTAAGGGGAAAATAAACACCTAGTTTGCCCCCAAATCCAACAGCATGTGCACAAAATCCACGCCCCATCTACCCACCTACCTACATAGATGATTAGACCGCCTCTGCCCAAACCGGCTGCCTGTGAAAAAACCGCAGAGAAACCTGGCACGAACATGCCACTGAACAGAGGCCAGCGACTACACAGTTTCCCCCTCCGGACAGGTGCAAACTGCCGGCGAGTGTGGCGCGATTGTTTCCTAGACCGTACTTTGTAGATTGACAAGCCAGCTGTTGATGACGTCATAATAGCTTTTAAAGGCAAACCAAATGGTAAAATCTGTGTTGTTGGTAATGCAATTTGGAAAACGGATCATCCAGAGACAGAGAGGCATAGTCCCCTCTCCCTACCTTGAGCCGCCCATTAAAATTGGGGACTCGAAAACTAGCGAAAATGTCATGGTGGAGGGGCGCCGAACATTGGTGCCACCACCAAAGGCCCTAAGTCTTCATTTTGGGGAGAAGTTAAGCTCCAGCCGGTCAGCACACACAAATGGACACCATACCGACTTAAAATAGTCCACGTGGGCTTAATTGGGTCCATGGACGCAGCATGGGGAAGGTGTGTTTCAAATGCTGCCCAATGGATCGCGCCAATAAACGTTCATGAACCCCTATAATAAACACAACCGAGGCAGCACTTGCATCAGCATGAGTACTCAGAGATGAACCCCCCCCCCCCCCCTCTCCCCGCCCCGCCGCTAAAAAATCCAGGCTGCGTCCTGCCTCCGGGAAGCCACAACAGTCGGCGGCAGACGGTGCCAGGACGTGGCTGAAGAGTGCAACGCCCTGCGCGCCAATCCAGCAGTCACACATTCCTTCTGGCTGTCTCAGCTAGGAGGCGGGCGGCCCCAAAGCAGCGAACCACTGACCTCGTGACGCTCACACAGCGGTGCGAGTTATGGGCAGTAACCGGACCACCAGTGGGGCGTGCTGTTTAAGGCCGTGAAGGCGCCGATACTGAACTTCTGAACTGGACGACCTGGTAAAACCACATGCGTGTTCAGCGCTAAGGATTACCTTGACGACGAAGAGTTTCATGTAAATCTAAGCAATGAGTTTGCAAGGCACCGGCCGACCTGCCCTGGAACTCCGCCGGCAGATCTGTGCGTCCACCTTGCCCTTCCAGCGGATCTGTGCGTTCGTCCCGCCCTTCCAGCGGATTTGTGCGTTCGTCCCGCCCTTCCAGCGGATCTGTCCGTCCGTCCTTCCGCGCAAGTGGATGCGTGCTTCCATCCCGCCAGCGGAGCTATGCGTCCACCCGCCGGCGAATCTGTATTGTTGTGCGCGATGTCACGACGGTGGTAGAACACCTGTATGGGCCTGGCCCGTGTCATGAGCGAGAGGCCAGATGTTTTCTGCCGCGGCTGATGGCTGCCGGCGCTCTGTAGCGGCTGGTTCGCGCCGTCCCCGCAGCTGCAGCGCCCCGGTCACCGGCCGCCATACAGCTGATGCCCGGGTCTGACCCGGCGCCGGCGGTGACCTGCATGACACCCACGCGAATCCAGATGAAGTCACAGTCATGCTTTGGGTAGTTCGTTATGCCCGCCATTGTTAAGTAACACTGGGAGATGAGCGCAGAGCACATGGAAATAATGTTCAAGCGTGGTCCGGCAGCCCAATATACAAGTCGGATGGACCCGTGGCGTGAACGTTAACGGTGTATGCTCTTCCATAACAGAAGACGAATAACACGTGCGCCTGAAGCGCATTTCCGAAGCAGTACCTTCCGGCTGTGCTGGTGAAGCTTCCGTCCGCTGCGCACGAGGCGCGCCGCAGCTGCGTGTCCGATGGCTGGGTCGGCTCCTTTCACACGGCGCTCTTCGTGACATGTCCGATGATGCTGAATTGCGTACGAATGAGTCCGAGCTCGAATTTATTGACTACTTCAAATCACCGACAGGCAAATCGACATGCATATTGATGATACCTTCCGGTGGGTTATAAACACTGGGAGATATTACACAACCCTGCCAATGGCAATTCCAACCAATGTGCAGGGTTCCCAAACGGCTACTGAAGCCTAGCAGTCTGGAAGAGCCATAGAGGAAGGGAGGCGCCCGTATAGAGAGGGCGGAAAGGAGGAAACTGAGACCGAGCAGGGAAGGAAAGCTGAAATCGTGCGCCGCTGCATGCTGGCTGAGACACCAACGCACCCTACATAAATTTCGTATCAGAAAGGGAGAAATGAAAACAAAAATAAGGGTTATTAGTAACATAAAGATCCAAGACGCGTAACCCACGACTAGCGCAATATTTCCACACAGCCAAACAACCGGCGATTTCACGACAGCTCGGGGCGCCACAGTAACAGAGCGCCCCTCCTCCGTCGGGCGCCGTAGAAAAGACAACAACCCACCGCTCCCTCGCCCGCTAACCCAGGAGCAACCTCTCGGCGCAGACTGGACAATCGCTGGCTGGCCAATGGCAGGCGGTGGGACGACACGCCGCAGCTCGCTGCACTGTTCAGAGTGACACCGGCACTCCCACACCAACACCCCATGCCAGGCCTTGGCGCCTCCATCCCTGACGCGCATGCGTGCACAACCTCTCGCATACGGCCACACCAGAACGGCAAGCCATTCGCCACTACCTTGGTTCGGGCAGAGGGGGTCGGAGGAGCCGTCGGCAACGATCGCCCCCAGATTCACGGGCCATTTCAATCGCGGCAGGGGCCGAAACCGGGGACAGATAAGAAATTCCGTGATGCGTGCGGGCGGACGAGGGGAGGGGTCGTACGCGGTCCGACTCCACACCGACGGACAAGCGCAGGCACACGCCTCTGATTTGGTACGGGAGAGCTGCTGCTGCTGCTGCTGCTGGCGGTGGTGCTGCTCTGCCAGCGGCGGCGGCGGCGGATCGGACCGGTCTACATGACAAGTTTGCCTACGATGACGCCGATGACTAGCGCCACGGCGGCCATCACATAGTACATGGTGGTGTCGGCGGGCGCGGCGTCGGCAGCGGCGCTGCCCGGCGCGCTGGCCGCACTCGACAGCTGGCGCCGCAATCGAATGCCTTCCTCCTGCAACGGCCAAGGGTGCGTCAGTCAGCGGGGGCCGCCGGACGCGACGGCAGTCACACACCGCAGCCTGCCGCTGTCGCTGACCGCCTCACACGCGGCCACACACTCGACACGGCCAGAGCGGGGCCAGCTACAACTGACGGCGGCAAAACAGAACTCGAGAGGACTGTTGGAACCCTCCAACTCAGCAGGGCCAGTGTGACACTGCCCAGAGGCAAGGGGTGGAGCTGCGCTCACCCGGACTAGTGGTCTAGTCCGGCGGAGCGGCACACGATCAACAGGGCAGGTAGTACCCAGTGAGGTAGGACCGGTGGGCCAACAGTGACAGGGTCAGCGGGACCGGGATTACCCAGTGAGGCAGGACCGGTGTTAGATCCGGCGGGACCGACGGCATTTGGAAATGATTGTTTTAAGGCTTGTATCTGATTCTCGGCTTGTACATTCAATATCTGAATTGACAAGCCTACCATAATGCAGCAAAAGACTATCATAAGACTAAGGACGCAAAATGGCCACGTAGTCAACACGCCCAAAAGCAATAAATACTATCATCATATCAGACTAAATTGACATCGTTCCTGTGGACTCCACGTTTTCCCATCCACTCTCCTAACTTGACTACATCATGTTCTTATCCCATGTTTACACACAATGGCCTTGCATTTTGCCTGTTCGTGACGCCATTGGCGTTCGCGACCACACACCACTGGTGAGCTGGTGTATACTCCCCCTTCTCCCCCCCCCCCCCCTCCCTCTCCCAGGCTATCCCAGAACCCGCTCAGCCAATTTGAATTATTCCAACATGAATTAAAAACAGGTCAAAATCATGGAATTTGAGGTGCTTTTTACAACCATTGCACGGCACGAAAATTTACTAGCTTTGCATTAGGGTTCAGTGAGGCTACAGCTGACCGATCGGCCACATAAGTGTGCTGCCGTCGCTCGACTTACACACTGGCGGAGTGCATCAAACACGGACTTCGCCAATACCTTCATGATCGATAAACGACGCACTCATGCGAAAAGCAGCATCAAAATCGCCGCGTGGATCGCAGTCGGCTTGAGCTATTAAAGAGTGCGGTTAAATTTAGAAACGCATCCGATCTGGTCAGCGAAACCACACACATCTTTTACACGGTTGGGCCCAGGCAAATCCACGGCCAGCGCTAGAGTGCCAATGACCTGCCGCTGATATCGCAGATTCTTTTACCAACACGATCCTGCGATGTGTCTTCATGATTCGTGTTGTCACTTCTACGCCTCTGCCGCAGTGACGTAATGGTGGCACCACACTACGCAAACACAAACGAAGTAAACTTACAATGTGAACCGATGCTCTGGGAGGGATCGGGCTTGTTAACCCCGTCTCCAACAATTTCTTAAATTACTGAGCATGACGTGCGAACAATGCACTTGAATTTTCAACAGCAGTCGCCCAGACGGGTGCAGCTCATCTCAGCAACTCGGGCAGCTCCTTAAGATTAGCATTGTAGCTTAACGGTCAGCCGCGGAAGAGGCGCCGTATGGGCGCAGGTTCGACATCCGGCATCAAACCCGACCGCGCACGCTTGTGGAATGGTGCGAAAAAGTAGCCCACCCGCCTCTCGCCATCTCCCAGAAGCCACTTAAGAAAGATGACGACCACATACACCGACGCATACAAAGAAAGATGGTTTTGCCATTATTCAGCTTGAAGAATGGCACAACAAATGATCAATTATCTTTGTCTTCGACAATTTTACGACCTTTTATTCAATTAAGGAATAAAGGGATACACCACCGGCGGCGGCATTGGGCCTAGTGCAGCACAGCACATATCTCACATACCCTGTCATCGCACCATGATCGAGCCGTCTCAAGCGGCGAATACGGCTGTTGCCAATGATCAGGCGATGTCAAAGTGACGCCTGACGATCCCACGCGGACAAACTCACCTGTGTAGTCTGCACAAGCATATTTCAGTGCAAAGTGTGAAGAAATAATTATTTGACAGAAACCTCGGCAACATTCTAGTCTACATACCTGCCTTCAGTACAAAAATCAACATCTGATCCTGATGGCAGCACAATGAAGCACTCATTGTGAGTTTTCAGAAGGACTGCCCACGACCGTTAAGTCAAGAAATGTCACTTCCCAACCGCGAGGTTGATCCTTATTGCCTGGCTGGGCCGTCTGGCCGCAACACAAATGCAGAGATGTGTCACGAACATTCCGTAAAACAGAGCAAACAACTGAGGGCGTCGCGGAAAGCATCGCGGAGTCGGCGGTGGAGTCGGCCGTCCCGAGCACTCACCCTGAGCTGTAGATTTTCGCCGCGGGCACTGCTCAGGTCCTCCCGCAGCTTGCGCAGCTCCTCCGTCGCCATCTTCATGTCCTTCGGCTCCGGCTGCCGGTCAGCGCGAGCCGCCGTCAAGCCATGGCCCCGGTGCCGACGGCAGCGACGACGACGGCACTCATCGCGCCTCGCGCAAGCGGCACAACGCTCGACGCTCGCAGCCTGCGCCGAGGAGTGGTGCGCAGCACACGGCGGGTGGGAAGCTGTTACTTACGATTACGATGCCACATACGGCACGGAACACCCCGCAGGTTACTGTGACGACCCAGACGTCGTCGAGCGCTCCTGTACGTCACTATCGGTTATTAAACATATTCCAGCACCATGTCGTTGCACATTCGCTGGGAAAATGCACACAAAACTTTCCAGCCGCCGTGACCAGGGGCCGACAGGTTGTGCCGAGGCACAGGCCGCGGCCGCGCGTCACACCGGGGCGACGTGACCCCGCACGCACCCTGTTGACCAGATCCTCCTGTGCATCCGCCGGCAGCTCGAACACGCAGCGCATCTTGTTCGAGGTCATGATCTGCTCCGGACTGGCAGTCTTCCACTGAAACCAGCCGCACCGAATTCGGTCAGTCCAACCTCTGCACAATACCGCTCCTCTATGGGTTGATAACACCGCTTTGCACTCATCCCAGAGGACTAGCATAACCATTTAAACCTGTCAGCGAACAGAGGGGCCCCATCTCCGATAGGCAAAATAAAGAACAGACGGCGAAGAGCCCCTTCACTGCAGTACATCTGCCTACGCACTGAGGGATACATTTCATAAGCTCTTCACATTGCTCTTTATATTTGCCCAAACACAGTAATTCAAGCAATTAGTTTCACGCCAATCGGGCAATGCTTCTGGGCCACGTAAACCGGTCCAGCAATGAGCTTTCATGGCCCACGTGAATTGCGTTAGCTTCCAGCATTGATTTCAAACCATTTCTGGTACTATCGGCTCAAGCTGGTTAATGTCAAAAATGTAACGCGAACATAATCATAAATACAATGGCAGTGTTGGAATTCCAAAATATTTCGTGGTAGCGGAGTACAAATTTTCTACAGTGAGAGATAACAGTACAATGGGTAGCACTCAACAAAAGCGTCACTTTTCGTACGCAGCAATTCATGCAAAACCACTTTAAAGGAAAGAAAACATAAGCATTAAACATGGCACACTGGAAACAACACGATCGCATACCCTGTGCGATGAAACACATGTTCATATACATTGGTTTGCAATTTATGAAAGGCTCTGTGTATACACTCTCCAAAACGGAGGGTAATTACGCATCGGGCTGATACACTCTCCAAAATGGAGGGTGGCTACACACCCGGCTTATACACCCTCCAAAATGGAGGGTGGGTACCATACCCACAGCCAGACAAAAATGGTACACAAAAAAATGCAAATGAACATGCCACGGACGGCCACCTACTCATGCTCCACCATGATCACACTACTACCACACACACGGTCGCACTACTCACGCTCCACCAGCAAACTGGTCTTAAAAGCAGCTAAACATACATGTCCTCCACCTTCCCACTACCGACCAACACACGAGGCCCTGCACGTCCCATCCGAAAAATAGAGACAGGCAACACTCTTAAGCCATTTACCGACCCAGCGCAAGTACAATGCCTGGACAGACCCGTGTAGGCCGGCAAAGGGATCAGTCAGTCACTCCGCTGATTCCCGCGGATAATGCAAGGTATTCATGGATTTTGATGCGCTTTAATCGCTACTGTTGTGAAATGATCATTTAGGTTGCAATTAATAATGTTTTTGTCCTAATAAACCCTTCTCCATAATTTGCCGAGCCAAAGTTATGGGCTCATGCTACTCTGGTGTCCTGGTGCTTTTGCCGGAGTGAGATGGCTGTCTCCGAAGTTTTTTTGGCTATCTATACAACGTTTTTCGACTTAAAAGGTTTTCGCAGAGCCTGAATTACCAGCTTTAATTTCACACCCTTAAGTGACAAATTCAACTTGATTTAAATCCACAACTGACATAACATTTTTGTACTCCAGATACCAGGAAGTGACCCAAAATCCAACCACATGGCGGTTTCTGGATAAGTGCAAATAAGTCCTTCATAATCATGATGTCCATCTCTATACATCCCTCCACATGTTTACGAACCTGTTCAGGCATGAGCGTGAGCAGAAATATTTAGCTCTTGACAAATCAGTCACGAGGAGGTGACTCATTAAAAACAATCGGGGAGTTTTACTATGTCACACCTCCAACCTGAGCTGGGAGGCGGGCGCGAGCCGCTGAATAGTTGAAATGTTTCCGACGCCGAATTGCGACTGATTCTGTTATTTGTATTGCTATGACACAGCGGTGGAGCGTGGGTAGGCGGCCGTCTGTAGGTAGCGGTTATAGCTCGGGTTTTCCTGAACGTTGTTGCAACTGCACTTGGCAATTAATGCGGCTCCTCGTCAATGGTAGGTTAAGCCATGTTCAAGTTTGAGTTGGTCTGCGTAGGGCATAGGAAGTGAGAGCTTTGCTAATCTAAAGACCTGTGTGATTCTGGTACTTCGTTTCTCATTTCCCAGTATTGTTCAAAGGCGATTCCATTGAACATTCACATGCTTTATTTTTCACATTTTTGATACATGGTTTATCACATACCTAGAAAGCGACACAGGCTGCTTCCTATTGGGCATCTTAGTCTGGTGGGTACACAATTTGTGCTCTTGCAGATATCAATACATGGCTTCTGATGGAAGCAGCAAAGTCTCAAGCCGTCGCACCTTCTGGTTTTATTTTTCCTGACACCAAAGAGGTAAAATGAGTTTTTCCAAAGGCTGTTTTTGTTGCATCATGATGGAGTAACAAAATATTTAATTAGACCTAGTCACAATCCTGAAGTAGGAAACCTCCTGGTATACATTATACCAGGAAATGTCAAGTTTTCCAACACTGTACAATAAAGTTGTTGAGCTGGGCCCAAATACATAAATACATCTAGCTCAAGAGGCGAACCGAGGCCAGCATATCGATGCTCGTTTATTGTTTGCAGTCGATGTACCGTTGTCCTTTTCGGTAGAATTCAGCCAATACCCGCCATATCATACCGAACAAATGGGTCCATCTGTTCATGAACTGAACATCTGGAACATCTGTTCCTGTTACACAGGAAATAACCAAGCACTCGTCCCCCTCCCCAACCCTTGCTTTCAGCATGTCAATCATGCTCGGCACGGTGAGGTGTCCGAGCTACGGCGATACCTGAACAGTTCAGGCTTTCCTGCACACATACCAGGGCAGCAGATCTAACCCAGAAACACATGGGTGGTCGCCCCCGGATCACATCCTCGCCCATCGGGCTTCAGACGTCACCGTAGTTATTATGATAAGAAGACGGCCACCGGCATTGTGACAGCTACACGCGCCCAATCAGTTTTACATACTCTGCATTGCAGCCGCGTACAACTATCTCAGGGAGCAAAATGCCTGAAAAAAGCATTTTGGCTGTTTTGTTCACTGCCATCCTTCCGGCTTGCACCCGATCTAAGTTCCCACAGAGGAAAAGCGAACAAATAACTTCTCTCCACATCACAAATCACTTCTCCGTATCCGCACATCACGTCAACATCGCAAGACCAAGCCAACCAACCAACAGGCACAGAGTTCTAGGGCCTTCCCAGTCTCTAGCAAAAAAGGTGCACATTAGCTCTAAATGCAGACCATCTAATCATTCCCTCCCATGAGTTTGGCACCAATCTGCCTGCAGGAACATCTCACTGGTCTGCCAGAATCTCAAAATCACAGATTGGTTCCTTTTATGCAATGCAGGAAGGTAAAAGCCTGAAGATCATGACAACATTTCCTCCTCAGAGTGTGTAATAGGTGTTTGCAGAAGCTCCAATGACAGGAATGCTGTAAGCCTTCTTGCCTTCATCCAGCAATGACATAAATCAAGGGGTCATATGTCTGAACCATGCAAATGAAATAAATTGCAATCTAAATGCATGCCAGAAACATGGGTATCACAGCACCTACCTCAACAGATCCACCTTGATGACATAAATGTTCAAACATTGCCTGAGGTACCTCATGAAGGTACATTATGGGTTGTGCCAAAATTAGTTTCACCAGTACCTCCAATATTATGGGCAAACACATGTCCAACTCACCTTTGGATAACTGTGACATCATGGGGTTTCAGTGACATGACTTACTGACACATGATCAAAACACAAATGTTCTTTTTCCAGTGAAAACAGTGGCATATGCTAGGAATCTCTGTGAGTGCTGAAGCCCATAAGACTGCAATGATCCCCAACTAACATACCAGGGTCTCCAACTCCACCTCCTCTCCCTCAGGCAGGAACATCGTCTGTACCATGAACTTGTGTTTGTTTTTCTCCGCAGGATCGTAATCGAATGGCTGAAGCATTACTGCAAAACAGAAAATGGCAGTAGCATTTGAATGATGGAACAAGGGAACATGATCACAATGCAATGTAATACCATCACGTGGCCACCTCAGCCAGGTTCAGCACCATGTCCAGTGCCATTTAAACAACAGGACAGAAAAATATAATCACAACACAACACAACACAACACCATGGCACAGTCACCTCAGGCTGGTTGAGCACCATTCCATAACAGCTGGCTCATGATGACTGCATAATGACAAAATAGCTCACCTCTCTCTATAAAAAGTAGACACCCCTTTGCATCTGTCATGAGGCCCCAATCTTATCTCCTACATGCAAACATCTGCACCTGGTGTGGATTTTGAAGCTGATTGGTGCTTACATGCATGCAAAAGTTTCTCTGGATAATCAAACAACAAACACTCAGTCAACTGAGCCCTAATTTTACAGTTCAGTTACAGCAGTTCCACACAGTGTTCTAATATTGTGATATTCATGACTTAATTCTAAGCACCCTAAAGCCTTTCACACTAAATTGATTGGATAATTGGGTTGCATCTGAAATAGGTTATGGGCTTGATTACAGGGGTGCAACTGTAGCACAGGCCCTGTTCAAAATGTCATCCTTAGTTGTCAATAAACTGCTATTAAAACACAAATAAAAATGCAGCTCCAACAATTTGGTCCCCAAATTATTGTAAGAAACACATTGTGCCTAAACAAGTTATAAATAATAAAAAATAATCCATTTTACACCCAAAAAATTTTGGACACAGTGAAACAGATGAATAGTTTAAAATAGCTGTCCACACTGGAGAAACATAAATCTGTGGCATCATGGCATGTGATTTTCCCTCATAGTATATTCAATGATAATCTGGGTTGAGCGCCCAAAACAAAACATATTGTACAAGCTAGCACTCAGAATGCAAAAGGGTCAATACCACTCATACCTGCAATGTTGACTGTGGCTCCTGGCTCCACTATACCCTGGTTTGGTCGCACACAATATCTCTTTGGTGCAGTGGTCTTGATCTTGAAAGTGATCTTCTTGTCTGATGTATTGGTAAGGGTCAAGCTACTGCTAGACACTTCATCTTTAAATGGGCCTGAAAAGTCATTTGCTGTTAAATTCTCTATACAACACTTTGACAGAAAAACTATACTCAACATCCAAGGGCCTATTGTTACATCCACATATGCCATGCATGACAAAATATCAGCTGATATTTTTGAAATGGTCAAATAGTGTACCTGTGCAACACATATGAACATAGCAAAATGACAAGTCAGCAAACTCAAATGTGTCTGCCAGACAAAGACATCAGTTCCAATCATGGGAAATCTTTAAAGGACAGAACACAAAAAGCAAATCAACAAGCTTTGATCACATCTGATGGCTGAGCTAACAAAGTGTTGTTCAGAAACCCTTAAAGACGATAATGAATATCACAAATTGGTTGCAACAATAATGTCCATTTCATTGGTCTCTTAAAATTATTCCTGCCATTGCAACTGCCCTCAGCTTCTCTGGAAAGCTGTACATGAATATATTCACAAATATGAATTCAAAATGAGTCAAGGGTCTGTCTGCACATGACAAACATTCCTTTTTGCTCCTGTGGGTTAATGTGGAGCCATTCCATCATGCATGCTTTCGATGTTCCAAATGGCAATAAACCATGCTACCAATAGTGCTCATTATTTGATCTTCAATTAAGTTGCAAAACAACCATGCTAACAATATTTCCTAGTTACTTGAGATTAAAGCAGTAATTAAGTAAAGAAAAACTTTTGAAGTATGCCTTTCTCCAACTTTTCTCTGACCAAACTACATTCTTTAAACCTGCCTCTAAAGCTGCACAATTATGTCAAAGTAAGTAGATGTTACTATGGGCACTGCATGACCTATGGCAGTTGATGCGCCCTACAACCCCAAATCATCATCATCATCAAGTAATGTTACTGAATCAATGGTAATTTTGATCTTACTGATAGGCATGCTAGAGATCTTCCTGGTATCAAATGATACTCAAGTGTCTTTCCAACCACTTTTACAGTAAGAGCTTGGATCTCATTTCTGCTGCAAAGATCTCGACCATTTGCACATTATGTTCTTACAATCGGACATTTCATAAATGTATGCCATCCCAATATGCAAAGCCTGCTGGAAGACATTGCTCATTATCTCTCAATCAAAACACTTCAGCAACATAGCTAGCAAAGCACCCTTTAAAATAATCTCAAGTGATATTTTTTACCGTCAAATATGGACACAAAACCATGATATAGTTGAACTTGTGCCCATCCCCAACTGCAGCACACCTATCGGCGAAACTGGCGCACAAGCATTACCTTTGAATCGCAACTCCTGCGAAGGCTCGATGACTAAGAAGTTATCCGACGTCGACATGTTGGTACACTATCGCTAGAAAACAACTTATAACCAAAGAAAACACTGATGCACAACAAATTTTCGATCGCGCTCCACGTCCCACTCCACCCCCTACCACAAACAAGCGAACTGTACTGAACGTAACTGCGCATGCGTTGTCAGTTGTACCAGAGAAAAATGCTTTTTTTTCGTTATTCAAGAGAACTTAAAATAGCTTTATGAAACAACGACAAAAATTATGCGCAAAGTTTCAATGTTTATTTAACGGCCTAAAGTATACTGAGTGGTACTGGTTACCCAGCGTTGCAGTGCAAAATGACAATAAATTTGACGATGTTCAAAATTTCGAGTTGTCCTCACTGCTTATCGTCATAGGGTGACAAGGGTTGAGAAAGGCTGCTTGAAGATAAAAGACGCGAATCCGGAAAACGTTCCTTACCACAGGTGTCAATTTGTAATATTTTGGGTGGGTCATTTGCTCCCTCCCCTCCCCCATCCACCCACTCCATGTCAAAGTTGGCCTCCCAACTGTGAGTTTGCCCCACCCCCAACTTTCTTGAGCCTTGAGCCCAAGTATAAGAACGAGTGCCGCACATTAAAAACAGGAGCTCAAAATTATCATAATTTCAATGACGGCTGTTCGTGAGTATTTCATTTTTCAATGGAAAAGAAACTGAAACCTGTGATGTCATGTTTGGTTAAGTGCAACTGACTGATGTGCACACTTTTGGAGCTCCGCTTTTGCATGGCGTTACGATGTTTTGTTGACTCTGGTTTAGTGTTGTGGCATTGTTCGAGTGTTTTGTCACTATTCAGCAATGTTTCCATGCGTTACATATTGCAGCATGCTGCGTTATTCTGCCTCGACGTCTTATCGAAGAACGGGACAAACCGGTTGAATATCAGCCCCCAAAACGTGACAAAGCCGTCTAAGTGCCGAACGAGGGTGCCGAGAGTCCAGGGCCATGCGATTGTGTCGAAGATGGGATCTTTCTCTCGTACATTGCACAGTGGGTGCGGTCGGCGATGGCCATGGACCATCACATATTTAACTAGATGCACGAGGACAGCCAGACATCTCGTGCGTCAAGTTCGTCAGTTGTTGAGACTTCTCTCGCTAACCCAGATTGTATACGCACTAGCGCTCCAGTTGCCCAGTGAAACTGAATCATCACTGGACGTGGTTGTCAGCCAAACCCCCCGAACGTAAACAACACACGGGTATCGTGCCCAGCCCCTGCAATGGCCCACTTGGCCACTTCTACACTGAACATAGAACGCGAGGAAAAAAACAGAGAAACAACATGCACATCCATGGTCGAACGAGCACTGATGTGCTTCTACAGGACCTGGCTGGGGCCGACTGGAGCGCTGCCCTAATGCCTTTTCATCAGATGAACAGTGGGGGGGGGGGGGGGGGGGGGGGGGGGCGTTCCTGACCATTGCGAAGCCGCTGCTTGACAAACTTTCCGCGTAGCGAGAAATATGGATTCACAGCCAGCCAGCTGGTTCTGTATCGGCCGCGATTAAGGACCTTATGGCATAATGACGCCTCACACCACCCTGGGTCTGTTTAGTTCTTTTGTTGGCAACTATGCATATTATCAGCCGCAGTTTTGCATGGTGGCCATGGAAGTGGCAAAAATCACTTTGTAAGACTGATGGTTAGATCTGGCCACATCAGGCAGCTTCAAACAAATCTCGCTCATTCTCATACAAAACTTAAGCTAAAGGAGAAGCTGGTGTGCAAGAAGCCTACGACGCATTTCACATCGCATGTTCTGATATATCTACCCAGCACAGACTTCGTAGGAGTCATTTTCCTGAGACAGCAATATTGAGCATTTCAGACAGCACATTCGGACCATAAATGTCGGCTAGGTGGCGTTGATGTGACAAGTTAAGGTATTAAAGGCCGTGTCTGCCACCTACTGCAGGAAGCACTGGGATCCCTCAAAAAGTTACGCCTATGACTAATGGATTACCTTCAACAGCATTTACAATAAACAAAAGGTTATAACTCGGGCGGCGGCGTTCACCCCGATGCCTACAGTGTGTGCCAGAGGTGCCGTTTTCTGGAAGTTGATGTGCAGTGGTAAATCCAAACTCCAGAGATTGACAAGCCGCCTGTCCAAGAGGTGTGAAAAATCAGGTTGTTTAAAAACGCTTAACTTCAAAATGAAAAAAATAACTAACATCCGTCCCATTAGCTTAGTTGGTGGGAGCGCCTGCCCTCCGGTCCAACCACCCGCAGCGCGTTGGTTCGAGTCGTTTTCGGCGCTCGCTACTTGCCCTTGACAGACATGGTTCTCGGTCAGTGGCAGTGGCCATGCTAAAGAACACGTGACGTCAGAGGGCAGGACGAACCGTGCCGAGATTTGAGGCGGGTCAAAATGTCGCCTCCAAAATCTGCTGTTGACTCGGAATGACTCGATCGGGTGGTAGGGGTTAGGGCTCACACATCTGACACCGCTTAGCGTTAGCTCCGATTCCAGACATCCATCAATTGAAGAGTTTCACGTTAAATCTTCATAAATAACTACTACCTAGACCCAATAAACACAGTCGGTAACCGCGTCGCTGTATTCACTCACCCGACTCAAATGAAAATAATGAAAATGGTCGGGGGTAAGTGATATGTATCGCAGGCTTTCGTGACCACGTCAATAATTCATGCTTCACGCCGATGTCTGCTAAGTTCGGCTATCATTAAGCTCGAGGACGGCAGCTTAGTCGGATGATGAGTGGAAACGAGCCATAACTAGGTAAGTAATGAGTATCACAGGCGCCCCGTGAAGAGATCTGCATGGGTGCCCCCTAAGCTCAACGGCGGAAACTAGGCCGGATCAGATGGTGAGTGGTAACAAATCGTGACTAGGTTAGTTATGTGTCTCACAAGCTGTCGTGATGGCCAGACATCGATGTCCGCTCAACTTGATTATCATTAAGCTCGACGACTGCAACGTGCTCGACAATCAAAGCTACAGTCTGCACTTACCGCTGCGTGCTACTGGTCCGCACTGGTTGGTTTAAGCTCACAGTAGGCTCCTATTGTCCCTGATCACCGGCAGGTCATCCCATGTTCCATTATTCGATATCTCATGTTTCAACAGAGATAGTTCTTTCCGATGATTTTTACCGCAATCTTCATCAAACCCGTTGTGCGCCACGATCGCTCAGTTGGTAGTGCGGCTGCTCTCCGATCCTCCCACCCTAGGGAAGGAGGGTGGGCTCGAGTTGCTTTAAATGCCTAGCTATTTGGCCTTGACAGACATGGCCTGTGGCCAGTGTCAGCGGGCGCGCGAATGGTCGGTTGACGTCATATTGCAGGACAGACCGGGCCGAGCATTGCGGCTCGTACAATTTTCGCCACCAATTTATGCTGGTGATCTGGAGCTGCGTGATCGGATGGTGGGGTGTCAGGGCTTACACAGCAAGCACTGGTCAGCGTGAATTTCGATCCCAGAAATCCCTCCGCTCAAAAGGATTTAATTAAGATTAAAAGGGATTTATTGGGCTTCGGCTCGCTTCATCCCCCTCCCCCACACAATGCCGTCACACACCGTTTTTCCATGAAATGTACCGTAGAATTTCACTCAGTAAGCGTTACAAGATCTGGGTAGCGACTGAGGTTACATCGCGCTCCGGTGGGGGGTGGGGAAAATTATTCCGCTCCTACTGGAGATTTACCAGTACAATTTTGGAACGGTAAAGCATAGCTGCATCAGGCTTGGTTTAACTGTCAGCTATTGAATAGCCGATCTTTTCATACGCAAATAAATATATTTTGCAAGGTCGCTGGATTATAGCAGATCAAAGTCAGGTCATTGCTGTCAGCGAAGGCGATTCTTAGGGAATCGTTCGTGATGACGTGACGATGAAGTGGCGGACATACGGCAATCGCCTACAAATTTGTCAACACGCTCTCGGATGGGAGCTCAAATTCCCTCCAAAAGTTCCCTCCAAAGGTTCTTCCAGAATAATTTATGAACGGCGGGTTGCAGCCGCGCCGAGCTTTGCATAGCCGGAGAGAATTGAATAGCGGATCTTTTGATTGAAAATAAAATTTGTTGTACCAGGTATGGTTGCTGACCTATGGCAGTTCAAAGTCAGGCCTTAGCTGCCATCGAAGGGCTTTTCTAGGGAATCGTTGTATGTGATGCAACAACGGAGCGTTAGACGAAGTCACGTCTATCTGAGATAGTTTCTTAGGCAATAAACGAATTGAATTTACAATTAAAATCAATTTCACTGACCTAGGGTCAGGCATAAAGATCAGTCCGAGGTAAAACTAACTTGCTTTTCTGTTCAAGAGCTTAGCTTCATGGGACAGTTTCTGGTACTCATTTCGAGTTTATCAATGACAGGGAGCGCATCAAACATGTTCCATGGATTTTTTAAAGATCAGAGTAGGTCACTGAATTAAAATAACCCAGGCCAACATTTCGTTCTAGGAACACATCACGTAGCGTAATCCCTGGCGCTTATTCGAATACCTTGGCAAAAGAGTAGCAATCTTGTAGTTATTTGGTCACCTTTACCTCATTAGGGTCAAACAAGGTCACTGATCTCATTAACCTGTTGCTTAGAACAGGTATCTAGCTTCACGCCGCCTGCATGAGTAGGTCGGGGGGTACTTGAGACACCAATTTGGAGTTTGATTTTGTTTGACCGTATTTGACCCCAAAGTCATGCCCTAGGAACCTCACATTCTGACTCTAGTGAGTTCACGCACAAGCCAACCACCCTGTGAATTTGGTGTATCTAGCCATTGTAGTTTTTTTAGGATCTAAGCGGGTCAAATTGATTCCCCCTATCGACCGAAGTGCATTCAAACGTCCACCCGGGCGCGAGTTAACTTAACATGGTCGCGACTCTGAGATTGCTTATCAGATAATCACGCAAATGTTGTTGCTTGTAGTTAATGAGCACTGATATGGTTTATAAGGCAAGTACAAAATTGTAATAGTAAATACGATTAAGTCCATTGGCCAAGGGTCATCCAGCCGACGCGCCCCTAAGCAC